TTATTTGTTAAAGGCATTCAAATACCTGAATACGAAAATCAGTTCCAATAAAAGCGTCCATGGTATTACGTTTTAGTGGAGGAGTTACAGTCTGATGGTAACTGTTATGCTGTTTTCTTACTATCTTTCATCTAGTTCCTCTTCCGCAAGTGTTGCGGGGGACCTAACAACGACTGCACGGAACCGGTGATCGCATGGACTACCACGACACGATGTCCTCAGCATGCCGATCTAGATAGCGTCTTCCCAATGACTCTAGTTAGGGAGGAGGAAGTGGAGGAAGAGGAACCCGAATCCTTTTCTTCTCATTTGCAAAATGGCCTCCAAGGGCCTTGTTCCCACCCCCTTCTTATGGAATATTTACGAAAAAGACGACATGATCAAGCACTCCATTAGTTTCCTATTCTTGACAGCCTAGCCCCCACTATTTTTATAGAAATAAACACACTTATCATTTGATCATTATTCTTTGCGTGTTAGATTACCTTTGTATGATCAATTTGGCATTAATGCTATGTTAATTCAAGCATAGTCTCTATTGCATAGTTTGTGTTTCAACACAGTGTGCTAGTTGACGCTGATTTTGCCATTAACTCATTCGCTTATTTACTATCTCTGATTAGGAGATTATTTGCTCAAAATGAAGGGTGAATATGCTGACTCAGACATACTTATAGTTTCGGCTTGCCGGACCCCCATTGGTCGCTTTTGTGGAAGCTTGGCCAGTGTCCCCACCCATGAACTCGGTGGATGCGTGATTTCAGAATGCATCAAAAGGGTCAGTTTCTCCGATATATTAATAATGAACCGGTTTATATAATGTACATTGCTTGGTTGACTAAGCGTGTGGATGCAAACAATTTCCACGATCTTTTATTTATCCCACGCTCTCTTCTGTCTGTCCTCCCGAAATAAATCCTTCTAGAAATAACTTTGGGTTTCTCAACCCCATGCTTTGTTCTGTCCACAAGCACTTTATTCTTTTTTAGGCTTCTAAACAATTTGTCGGTCTGACTGAAGAGGAGGTTTTGGGAAGAGTGAGTGAAGTAATCATGGGTCAGGTGTACACAGCGGGCGGAGGTCAGAATCCTGCAAGACAGGCATCTAAAGCCGCTGGTAAGTTGATATTCAACTCAATGGAGTTCTTAAATTAGGAATAAAACGTGGAAAACGTTAAGAACGGGTTTTGTTTTTAAGTGTCCCAAAAGTTCATGCGTATATTTTGCATTCTCAACATTTCGCATGCGACAGGAGGCATGATGCCTAGAGCGCTTTTATGAGTATTCCACGTGGTAAGGTTGCCTTACAAGTTTTGCGGTGTCAATTAAGGCGTACCATCATCGCAGGTTGTCGAAATTCACTTTATGGCCATGGTCTGCTTATTAGTTTGCGGAGATTGTGAGAGTAGCGCAGCCCTTCTCAACCACTCAGTCAAAACTGTTGAATGTCTATTGGCGATTCAAGAACATGCTCTTCAGGTCATACACAGAGCCACAGAGATTGACGATTTGCCGTGTCAGATATACTTTGCTCTCTTCCTTCCTGTAACCGGATGCACAGTCATCTTCATGCATAAGGGATGAGTTTCATCGTTTGAGATGCCATCCTGGTTGCCATCATCAACTTTTTTTGCTAAATTCATCTCCTACAACTTAATCATGCTTTGGCTTTCGAGAGCCAAACTCACTAGACTACTAGTCTTCCTAGTGGGCTGCAACTGTAAATCTTCTCATTTTCGAATGTTTAGCATTTGGTTGAGTTTCGTGTCGAGTACAGTTCGAATTTTTTACATTCTATTTTACTTGAAAGGCCTATCCTATACTGTCCCAGCATGGGGCCTTAACATGCTCTGCGCGTCGGGCATGAAGGCAGTGTGTCAGTGCGCTCAGACGCTAAAGGTCGAGGGGGGTCTAGCTGTAGCTGGTGGGCAGGAATCCATGTCACGGTGCCCTCATATCACTGCGCCCGGCTGCAGTTTGCGGCGCGGCGGCGGTGGCGGCAATGCTGATGCTCTTCCCCTCTTCGGTGACTTTCACCTCGTCGACAGCCTTCTCACTGACGGCCTTGAAGATGCGTTCCATGGGGTTCATATGGGTGTGACTGCTGAAAACATTGCGCAAAAGTAGGTCTGTATTGTGTTATTCATGGATTATCGAAACTATGTTGATGGAATCCTTACCAGTGCTAGAGAAGTGAGGAATCCATAACCTGTTTTATTGGAACTTAACATAACTCATGACTGCATTTTTTGGTACGATGTCACATTCCCGTTTGTGCTGTGGTCGGCTCTTTCCGCATTTGTTGTGTACGTTTCTACGGCGTGTCCCGATCGTATATCGGTAATGATGTATGTTGAACATGTTAATCATCACCTCTCAATTCTTGTTTTGATTTCAAATCACTCTTCTTGTGAGACCGCTTGGAATGCACGAAGGTTTCCAGTGTGCCTCTTAAGTTAGTAGAAAATTCACGACCATTTTTCCAAGTGGCTTTTTTCCCGACCAGATATAATGCGTGACCTTTATCGTATGTAGGAGTAGACGCTATACCATGGAATGGCGTCAGTGAGCACTGTCTCAGAAGCAAGTGTGTTGATTCCTTAAAATTATGTTCTACTTGAGGTTTGGCCTAGTCGGCTATTCGATATTACTTCTCAATAATTACAGAGGGCTTTGATTTGCCACCCAGACATCCTTGGAACTTCAAAATGGCATTATAATTGTGTAAACCAATGTGTTGCTTGAGTCTGTTTCTATAGTCCAAATGGTCTGCCACCAAAACTGAGGTAAATACTTACCCTATTCCATTAATCTTAGAGGAAACAAATTAAAAGGTACTTTTTCACACCACTGTGTTCCGTTCATGCATATTTTGAGTTCATTTCTTATTTAATTCATATCCGCTTTATTCCTCTCCAAATCTCTGGTTACAATTACTCGAAAAATGTCGTAGGTCTGAATTTACGCGTATCTAACTATTTTACGCCTATATCTACTCAGACCCGATCACCAACTGTTATCAACCTCGAATCTTCATTCTTAATTTGCCAAATCCACTATGAATACACGGGTTAATGCTAGCTCTGATTCTGCGAGAACAGCCATGAAAATGCTCTATGGGGCTCTGTTGATCTAATTGTTGCTCTGCCTGTTTGAATTGGTGCTTTCGGATACTCCTGTCGTGAAATGCTATTTTGTACTTTCTTGCGCCCAGATTTCAAATCGGCCGGAAGGATCAGGATGCTTTTGCGTTGGAATCCCAGGCAAGGTGTAAACAGGCCATGGAAATGGGGAAGTTCAGGTCTGAAATCGTACCAATTACCATCTTCAAATCCGACAAGCATGGCGCTGTACGTTGGCATTTTGTTATGCCTTTCTAGTTACCCATGGTTGGGACCTTCTGCAAATATCTTTTTTCCAACATCCACTTAGGTGTTTTGCACCCTCAATTATGCTTCCTCTAGTAAGTTTAAAGCTCTAACCTAACAGCTTTATGGGCACTTTGACCCAAACCTGTCCATTAAAATATTCTGATTAATTGGTGGCTGTGTGGTCCCTTTATGATGAGCTCAGTCGGCTAGGTAGCTCTCATACCTCATCCTTCGT